TAAAGTGTCTACGAAGTTACTGACTGATAGAGTAACTGTAACCATAAAATGTGTCCATGTTCAAACCTTTCGTGGGTTTGTTTTGACAGTTAAGCTGAATTTTTTGAAATCTTCCAGTAAATCGAACTATACGGTGGATTCTTCTTTTTTCTTCGTGTTCAAGGAATCTGTTTAAAACTCATTTTGGATATAGGGATGGAAAATGAATAACAAAAACAAAAACAAACTGTGTCACGTGATCGGAGTCTACTTTACTCTGAAACTAAACTAAACCAAAAAAAAAACAAAATCCAAAATAAGTGGATAAAAAGATTAAAACGAGAGAAAATCAATTCTTTTTCAATACATATTTTTCCCCATAATTCGAGATAATTTTTGTTTTTACATTTATATATTTTGTTTATTATTTTATTTGTTTCATACATGTTCAATATACCTTGTTTGATTACTCTTTCTTATTCCATTTTCATACGTCTTTGAATTTTAAATGTCTTAAATCTGTTATTCATAATGTTTAATTTTATTTTTGTTTTGTTTTTCGTTTTTTTTTGTGGGAGGGGGTATGAGCCGGGGAAGGGACAATCGCACCACACTTTCAAAATGGGGTAGGGCGGAGACAAAGCATATGTCGTTTTTGTTTTGTACGTATGTTTGCATTTTTCTGTGGAGGGGTATATAAAAATGAAGGGGCGTAGGGGCCGGGAAAGGGAACCATAACCGCATTTCACACTTGCAAAACTATAAGCGCCAACCCCCCTCAATTTTGGCTATTTGTTTGCTATTAGAATATAAAATGACTACAAAAGAGGACATTAACTTATTTCTAGTCTCAAGTAAATATAGATTAAAGGTCTTTTTTAAGAATTAAGTCACCCTCCCTTCCAACCTTTCAATCTACACCTACTTCACTGATATGAATCAAAGAAATAAGCAATAATTTTACTCATACACAGCTTATAAAATTGAGAAGCGCTAGTGTTAACGCTAAATGCATAATTTATCAAAAACGAAATACTCCAAGCATTGTAGTTCATAAACTGGTGTGCACATTTGTTTTGTTCAATCTTTTTAATTGTGCAATCGTCATTTAATGCAAAATGTTTTACTTTCTTATTAAAATCGTCGTACAAGTCAGATTCAAAACAAAAGTAACAAAAGAAACGGGATAGTAACAACAAGCCGTATAGTTTTTCTGCACTTGTAGTCAGATCGAGTTCCTCGGCTACACGTGCAGACAAAAACTATACGTCACGGTTGGTACCGGCCAGTTGTTTTTGTTACTTTTGTTCTGTATCTTATACATGTTCCATAAAAACAAATTATCATGCAGTCAACACATGCCCTTTATTAGACTTTTTTTACTTTACTGAGATATAATCTTTATTGATGGGAGAGGCCGGTTTAAAAAAAGAAATGGTCGTAAACGATTAGAACTGTAAGAGATCTAGAATGCATTAAATAGAACGAAGTCCTGTTTTAGGAGGAAATGCAAATGTTAAGTAGGTCAAGATGATTAACCAACAATACGATTAAATTAATCAGGTGATTGTCATCTTGGTTTTTTCTTTCTTAATATTTTTCTTGTAGAACTTTTCCATATGAGCATTTTCTAGATCAGGTCAATCAAAACTTGTTATAAAAATTAAAATCACAAAAATACCGAACTCCGAGGGAAATTAAAAACGGAAAGTCCATAATGAAATGGCAAATGTAGGAATTGTATTACTGTAAAACTCATGAGAGACAAAAGGCTTATAATTTGAATAATGTAAATTTTATAGTCTGATTTACAGTTGTGACTACAGCAGCCTTCCAATTGTCATCAACAGTACTTTTCATACAAATCTCTATTCATAAATAAATAAGGTTGTTTAGAATTATGAATAGAATATCTGACCTAATGCTGACACGGTCAATTCACTAACCCCATTACCTTTTATTTACCTCGTTAAACATTTAACATTAGACCTAATGACCAATTTTTAATTTACTTTAGGAATATGACAGTTGTTATCCATTCGTTTGATGTGTTTGAGCTTTTGATTTTGCCATTTGATTAGGGACTTGTTCCGTTTTGAATTTTCCTCGGAGTTCAGTATTTTTGTTATTTTACTTTTTGACATTAATTGAGTTCGTATAATACATGCATAAATTCACACTACAATAGAAGCAACGTAATTTAAAAACATTAATATTTATTTTTTGACGATTTATTAAACTGAAATATAGATAGACTGTAGATGTCGTTTATTGATTTCAAAAGGTGTCTAATAATAATTTAGTTTTCACAGGTAGTTTTCATGGTATTGATTAAGATAGCGCAAAATCGAAATATGTTAATCATGATAAAAAGGGAAATTTATTAAATGACGATCAGACTGGAATATCAAGATAGGATAGCTCCTACGGGCTATAATTTTATGGAATTTCTGGAGATGTAAGTCTTTTTGTTTTGTTTCTTTCAATTATTAGTTAATTCATGTTGGTTAAAAATCACATCCGATGCAAAATTAAACTTATTTATATTTATATGATTTGCCATATGGTATACTTTTTCCGCAGAGCAGAACACAAGTGTAACAAACGTTTCATATTTTACGGAAATATATATTGAAATTGTTATAAAAAAATTTATAAGAATATTATTTAGTCTTTAAGAATGTAATTCCAGTTGGTCATGACAACTTTATAGTTTGGACCGAATCAATGAAATAATTAAAGGGATACATCCGTTATTTAAGAAAAAGCACCAGAAGAAATGAAGAAAACTGAGAGACGTCTGGATTTGTCTTCTTTTTCTAGCGGGAGCAACTATTGTTTATTTTCTGACAAAACTGTATGATAGAATGTATGAATTGTATTACTGTGAAACTCATGATCACGAAAGACAACATGTTTATAATTTAAATAATGTAAATTCCCTTTAATGAAGAATTATTGTGTTGTTGATTTACCGTTAAAATCACTGAATTTTCAATTTTGAGTAACGTCTATAATTTTTTTACACCAATGCCCCTCTTTACATAACATACAACTGCATCATGTGATTTTCTTACAACTTATATTGACATTTTGAAATTAAGTTTTTTTTAAAAATTATTGTCATTGGTTTGATGTGTTTGTGCTTTTGATTTTGCCATTTCATAAGAAATTTTCCGTTTTGAATTTTCCTCGGAGTTCGGTATTTTTGTTATTTTACTTTCAAGCTTAGTTAATTTTCTAATATATACTAAAGTAAGTTCATTTGAAATTAGTTCTTACCACCCGCGAGATCATGTAATTGTAGTTTTGGAAAGCGTATAAAATTTATAGTTATATTTCCTTCCGAAAATTTTGTTGTTTTCATATATTTTTATTTTTCATTAATTTTTATACGCCTGTCAAATTTTTGACGGGACGTATTATGGTATACAAATGTCCGGCGTCCGTCCGTCTGTCTGTCCGTCTGTCTGTCCGTCTGTCTGTCCGTCTGTCCGTCTGTCTGTCTGTCCGTCTGTCTGTCCGGCGTAAACATGTCGCACCGTAACTTGAGAATGACTTATCCAAATTTCATGAAACTTAACATAGTTGTTTCTTATGATGGTCAAACGATCTGTATACTTTTTGGTGAAATAAGATTAAAACTTTTTGAGTTACGGGACTTAGTAACTAAAACAGGTGTGTGTTTTTTTTTTCACATGTCGCGCCGTATCTCAAAAACAATTTATGATTATTGCTTAAAACTTTACACACTTCTTAGTTATATTAATCTTAAGATCTGTATACTTTTTGGTGATGATTCAAAATTTTATTTTAGAGATATTGAGTATTTTGTTAAAAAAGGGGGAGGGGTTTTTCACATGTCGCGCCGTATCTCAAAAACAGTTTATGATTATTGCTTAAACTTTACACACTTCTTAGTTTTATTAAGATCTGTATACTTTTTGGTGATGATTCAAAATTTTATTTTTGAGTTATTGAGTATTTTGTAAAAAAATGGGGAGGGGTTTTTCACATGTCGCGCCGTATCTCAAAAACAATTTATGATTATTGCTTAAAATTTTACACACTTCTTAGTTATATTAATCTAAAGATCTGTATACTTTTTGGTTTTGATTCAAAATTTTATTTTTGAGATATTGATTTTTTTTTAAAGGGGGGGTTCTCACATGTCGTGCCGTATCTCAAAAACGATTTATGATTATTGCTTAAAATTTTACACACTTCTTAGTTATATTAATCTAAAGATCTGTATACTTTTTGGTTTTGATTCAAAATTTTATTTTAGAGATATTGAGTTTTTTGTAAAAAAAAAGGGGGGGATTTTCGCATGTCACGCCGTATGTCAGAAACTATTTATGCTTATTGCATAAAAATTCACACACAAGACGACGGGCGTATCATGCGCTCATGGCGCAGCTGTTTATTAAGTTAGCGTAGACTTGAAATTATTTTTTGTTTTGATTTTTGCTTTCAAAATTTAAAAAATGAGCTTGCCCTGCATAACATGTAACAGTATTCATCCATACCAATTTTAAGCAAATTAAGTCGTCTCGCAGGCCTCCAGATTTTTTTGAAAATTTAGTGTTTACCCCAAGAACTGGTTTGGCCACAGCATAACAATTTCAAGTTTATTTACAATTTACACAGTGTGTATATGTTAAGTATGTTTAAATGAACATATGTTCTCATAGTTTAGGACTTTGCTCATTATAGGTTGAAAAATACAGGCAAAGTTTAGATGTTTATGAAGTGTCCTATATTTTGACTTTAGTGGAACCTTAACAATAGGATAATCCCTTTACATATTGAACGCATATTATATTGATTCTTTACAATTAAGCTTCATTAAATCCAACAATTTCATTGGTCGAAAGCACTTACATTGTAACAATATTCTAAAGATTGACTTTAATTTGCTTAAATATAATCTGTTCACGTCCTTGTAATGCTTATGATGACTGCCGCTAGAACTTATAAAAACATTCGTAGTAATCAAGCAAATGTTCTTTTTGTTGTAGGTTGATTCATAGCAACAGAAAATTTATACAGCTCGAAAGTTTAACGCAAAATGTTTGCAATGCATACGGAAGATAACAGAGAAAAGAAAGATTTGTATGTTGATTTAAAAGTTGATAATTATCATACATATAATGAAGGATTATACAAAAACAAATTAAGAAGTAAATACCTTGATGACTGCAGACATAATGGGGTTAGAGCACTTGATAACCACAGTGAAGGGAAAGCACCGTATAGCTGTGTCGTCTGCGACCAAGGATTCTTTCAACGTAATAAATTACGATTCCACCTGAAAAAGGAACACTCCTCGAATGTGATATGCAATCGATGCAGCAAAAGCTTTTGCACACTTCATTCATTCCGAATACATTTAAAGTCGCATTTAGAAAGTCGACCTCATACTTGTGAAGTTTGTGATAAAGCATTTATTCAGAAATGTCACCTACAAGCTCATATGTACTCACATATTCAAACTAAGTTGTTTCCGTGTTCGTTTTGCCATTCACAGTTTGCAAATATGTATTTTCTAAAACTTCATGAAAGAACACACAAGCCATATAAATGCTTAATTTGCGGAAATTGCTATATAGACCATCGAAATTTTTTCAAACACATGATACAACATTTAGACAATAAACCGTATGTTTGCCGTGTCTGTGGGAAGTCATTTGGCATGAGACAGCATTTACGACTGCACATGCAGTTTCACAAAAGTAATAAAACAACTTGCAATATATGTTTGAAAACGTTTGACAGTTTTATTAACTATGACAGACATTTATCAGCACATAAAGTTGAAACCTTTTCATGTAAAAAGTGCAGTGCAAAGTTCAATCGACAAGAATATCTTGAGGCACATATGCCTATTCATTCCCATAAAAAATGGTATAATTGTATAGAGTGTAAGAAGACATTCGAACGACACCATGATTTTAAGAAACATTGTAGAAAACATGCACTTCAAGCTGCGTTCGAGTGTGATATTTGTCTCAAAACTTTTCAAACAAGATTAAGTTTGAGGAAGCACAGACGTTGTCATAACAGAGACTATCCTTACGTGTGTACACACTGTGCGAAAGGATTTATGGATTATAAAAGTTTTACTTCTCATCTTAAATCTCATTGGATTTAAGGATGATCGCTACTTTGTTTAAAACAAAACAAGCTTTAAAAAAAAACAATTGTTATAAATTAAATATATATAAATAATAGAACTAGAAAAGCAGATAAAATTAAAGGTGCGTGTCCTTGTTTTTGAGATATAAGACATTGAAAATTTGGCGGGAAATAAATTTCTGTAGATTTGTCATCAACTTGACATTGGTATCATCAAAGCTATGAAAAAATGACCAGGATTCTATAAGACTTTGAAAAATAGCTTTTTAAACTATATAGGTATACAAATTATAAAAAAGAAAAGTAGAGGTTAGCGGGCAATATTTTTAATGGCACTACATGGATAAAACCTGAGGATTCTGAATATCTTTACAAAAAGTCAAAAACAAGAGCAGCGAACATCTTTAATGCAGGACATTTTTTTTACAATCATCTATCAAATTGTTTTCGAATTATTTTAAATTTTAGACAAAGCAATAAAATAATACTTATCTGGATTCTATTGAATAACAGACCAAGTTTTTTGAAAAATGAAAGAATGTATGTGTACGGTATTTTTTTCCCAATTTGACAGTAAACATTTATCTCATTCAATTATTGGACGTACAGCAATGCTAATAAAATACCAGAAACGAAATATTTTTGAAGATAAGAATTAAAGGGCTACACTTTATGTCCTTATCAATATTCTTGCAATTGTCCGAACGATAAAAAAAATGCTGAAAACTTTTTTTTTATTTTTAGAAGAATTGACTTCAAATTTGGTACATATGAAGATTATAAAATTTAATATAAGAATATGAGAAAAACAAAAAGAAAACAAAAACTTTTAAGCGTTAGAAAACTTACATGAACAACGTCATTTTTATTGATTAAAATTACTTCAAATTTGGTATCAAGTAAGATTATACATTGAATAAGAATATGAGAAAGAAAAAAAGAAAAAGTTATTGTACAGGTACAAAAACCGGATCGGACCGACATTGGCTCTACCTTGATCGTTTGAAAAGTGGAAATAACGTTTTAATTTCTTAAATAAATATTTGAGTTTGGAACACATCAACATCAATTTATTATTGTAATGAATAAAAGAAAAAAATCGTAAAAAATATTTCAAGGATAGAAAAAACTGAACTGATCAATGTCGAACTAGTCCTGATCAATGTCCTGACTGGCGATACAAAATGTTGTATTATTTACTTTGAGGGTTCTTCTTCTTTTTCTCTGGAGTTTTGGAGGCGGCTTTCCTGGTGTGGAACGTGCGCCCTACTTATATTTTATTGTAAAAAAACCATAGTTGTATGTGTTATATTGCAGGTGTTCTGAAGTTGTTGTGAGTATTTTAGTCCTTAGTCCTACATTAAGGTGAGTTGTTATTTGTAAAATGCAACACTTCAAGATTGGTTAAAAGAAAACAGGCCCGCATTTAAAAGTTAATTTAAGTTTACTGCTGATTGTGTGTATGTGTGTTTTTTTTAAACTTTAACATAGTTATCAATTGGTAGTTAGAAACCTTTTAATTCTAAGCTTTAAATGACAAATACACAAATAAAATTGTATTTCATCTCAGGCACGTTTTAAAGAAAAACCAAGCTTTTGGAACATGCATCGACAGGATATGTCCAACGGACAAAAACATAAGCGCACTTAATAAATCCTTAAATCGAGTTTTTCCTTTATTAATGTTTCTACCCGGATTATAAGTGCAAGATCCCATTAGAAATAACGTAGCATTGCTAAGTAATGACTTTCGAACTGTATTCGTTTTTTTACAGTAATGCCCATTTTAACATACGGACATACAAGGCCTTCATTGTTGACGACTGTTGGTTTCTGAATACAATCTTCATCTCCGATTTACATTCTGTTTAAGAGACCTTTCAGGGTCCTTCGATTTCGTCGTAATGATACACACCTTCATACATTTGAAAGTTACATTTCATTGGCTGATTTAATAATTGCCAGAACAGAAAGTGTTGTCAGATCCTTGTAAGCGAAGCGCGGACACAGGATCTGCATTTTAATCAGATTTATTGTACCATGTCAGGAATATGTCATTATTTTTCATATTCTTCCATGAACTATTTGTGGAAAGTTGCCCTGCTTTGTTTGTATTGTAAATGGTTTAGGATCTTCGATATTCAGTTCCCGTTTGCATGATTATATAGGTCCTTAACTATAAGAGTAATTTTGGATACTTAGTTTTCAAATGTATGGGTTTGTGGAATCCTGCTGAAGGTAAAAAAAAATTATCAATAACTTACTTTGTCATGCTTGGCAATTTTCCTTTTTTGTCTATACTAAGCACGATGATACATGAGGTATAGCTCAATGGTTGCCGTTGATTGCTGTCTGCTCTAATTATGTTTCGTTGTTGAATGTTATTAGCTTAAATCATGTCTTTTGTATTTTCTTTTGATTTGTTTTGCATTTTGTTGCACGGGGACATTTTAAACCTTACTTTACGGTATTGAATTTGAGGTGAGGACCTTAAGTGGTTTTCGGAAATTTGAGTCCTCAATGCCCTCAACTTCGTACGATGATACAGGAGGTACAGTTCAATGGTTGTTGTTGATTGCTGTCTGCCCTTATTATTTTTCGTTTAAATCTATTAGCTTAAATCATGTCTTATATTTTTCTTTTCATTTGTTTGGCATTTTGTTGTACCGGGACATTTCAAACCTTACTTTTCAGTATTGGATTTGCAATGGTGACCTGAAGTGGTTTTCGGAATTTTGCGTCCTCAATGCTGTTCAACTTAGTAACTTTTTGTTTTGCTTTTAAACTTTTTTGATTCGAGCGTCACTGATGAGTCTTTTGAAATACCGTCTAGAGTACACAATTTTAATCTTGGTATCTATTATGAGTTTTTTTATCATTGTTCTTTCACCGTTCTTTGTCGGATAGTTGTCTCATTGTCAGTCATACCATATCTGCTTATTTTTTCTATAATTCTGCATTTGTGACCTCATTTGATGAATGAATTGTTACAATGCAATAAAACATACGAACACACCCGTTCATCTGATTAGCTCATCCTCAAAATATAAAAAGTGCAGAATATTCATTTTGGAATGGTTATATTTATTCAATAAATAAAATAAATTGAATCATAAAAATCCTTTACAGGGCTTGAATCCTGTAATTTAATATCAACATTACTGACCGTGAATGTTAAAAAAGGGCGGAAGAGGGTCAGGTATTGACGGGATATAAACGTTTGTAAACATTTTTCACAAGGAATCATTTCCTGCCAACAATAATGATATATAACGTATGTGAGAATGAGAGAATTAAATGACACTTCTTGCTTTTTCTGCTGTGAGGCAGACGTGTCATATAACTATGATACTTGTAGATAGAGATAAAACTGCTTTAATACAAAACGATCTTAATGGGTTTAAATGTTAACGTTAAACAAAAATGTCCATAAATTGACACATTGATTTTTATCTTCTTGATGATTAACTGTTGACACAAAGAAATGGCTCGCCTGTATGTTATTTTATCTGAAGCACGTTTCTAAAGAAAAGTTAAGCTTTCGGATCATGCATCGATAGGAGATGTTCAACGGAAGAAAACACATGATCGCTTAATATATCCTTTAATTGAGTTTTTGTTTAATTTTTTTTTGTAATGTGTTTATTGGCAAAAGCTACATATATAAATCGTCATAGTACGTAAGTCCATAGTACATGAACAAAATTGAGACAAGTACATATAGTTGATATTTTGAATCATTTGACAAACTTAAAAATAATAATAATGGTAAAAAAAGAGAAAACTAACCTGGGTAGCATGGATTGGGTAGATATATTTATTACGTAAAAGTTTACTTGTATAGTCATTCTATTAGTTGGAGCCAGGGGTTCCAGCAGGAGTACGCTCTTTGTAATGGTTTATTTTTATAAAATATTATTTTTTCAATAAACAAGTTTTCTTTAAGATAATTTTTTAAGGCTACAATATTTACTTGTCCACATTGCATTTTTGTTTTGTATATATAATATTTAGTTAATAATATTATGAGGTTTCTTATGTAGTTTTTTTTCTGTTTTTTCTAATATCCCAAATAAGACTATATCTAAATTAAGTGGTAGTTCAATTTGGACTTTTGAATATATCCATTTATTAAGTTCTTCCCAAACATCAAATACTTTTGGACATGTCCAGAATATGTGTTCTATAGTTTCTATCGAGTCAGTACAGATAGTGCATTTGTTGTTTTGTTAGACTTCAATTTTGTAGAGTAATTTATTTGTTTTATTAATGTGTCTACCCACCCGAAACTGTTGTAAACGATGATAAGTTAAAGAATCCCATTAAAAATAACGTTGCATTGCATTGCCAAAAAATTGGCTTCGAAAACGTTTTTTTTTCTTCAGAAATGCCCATTTTAACATACGGACATACAAGACCACTTTTGGTTTCTGAATTAAATCTTCATGAAAATATGCACCAAACAAATGTCTAGAAAATTTGTATGTCAATATGTGACTAACCACCTACTATTCAAATGTTTAGTATATATGTATACTACGTATAACCTTCTTTTTATTAGGAGCACCACCATGAATTATGGTGTAAAGGAGTACATATAGCACACTGTATCGGCACAGATTTAATGTGAGCATTGCCTACCCAGTTCCAAAGCCTAGCCGTGACGGGAATTACTACTAGAAAGTTAACCTTCCACAAAACATGAACAAATGCAATGCAATAAGACATACTATTATACTTCATGTCAAAATGCCAGATTTTGATTGGTTAATACGTGGTAGACAATTTACTCTATCCCATGGCAAATACTCTATTACCCTTCACGGGGATGCTTGATCAAGTGTGCGCTTTAACAAATACGGATGATTGTTATGTACTAGACGACATAGTTTATTACTTTGAATTTGAAATTTAATAGACAGTAATAACAGAACATTCAGTATAATAAATTAAATAACACATATCTGAGAGGGTGATAGAGCAGGTTGTTACCCCTCATAAAGACATTGTCAACCTTGGCTTCGCCTCAGTTGACAATGTTTACTCGGGGTAACAATCTGCTCTATCACCCTCTCAGCTATGTGTTATTTATATACTAATACACCCACTTACCTGATTCGCTCATCCTCAAAATATAAACAGTGCAGAATATTCATTTTGGAATGGTTATATTTATACAATAAATAAAATAAATTGAATAATAAAAATTCTTTACATGATCTGTATCCTGTAATTTAATATACACAATATTAAAAAAGGTGGAACAGGTTCGGGTATTGACGGGATATCAACGTTTCTGATCATTTTTCACAAGGAATCATTTTCTGAATACAATAATAATATATAACGTATGTGAGAATGAAAGAATTAAATGACACCTCGTGCCACTTCTGCTGGTAGGCGGACATATAACTATGATACCTGTAGCTAGAGATAAAACTGATCTAATACAACACGATCTTAATGGGGTTAAATTTAAATCAAAAATGTCCATAAAGGATTGTATTTTAAACAAATGGCAAAATGTGTGTAAGTAAATCATTAATCGCCTACCACGACACATCTAGACGAACATTATGGCAATTTAATCGTAGATGAATACAATGTCTTGATATATAAGTCTGATGTATCATTTTGAAAGATCTGCTATACTTGGTGTGACCTTTTATTGGAAAATAAATTTTGAAGTGTCAAACGTATAGTGAAGTTATCTTAACCTTTTTAGTTTTGTTTTGCAATACGCTAAATAAGAAACATCATAATCATGATAAACTCTGAAAGTGTATTCTATAAGTTTTAAACTACGACTGCATGTAGTTTAGGATATTACTCGATTATTCCTAATTACGATGGGATAACTTGCGTGTCATAATTGTATTAGTAACTACATGACATTGTCATGTTTGTAGAACTGTAAATTTCTAATAAGGTAAGTTTTTATTTCATAATTGATTTTTTCCAAAATTGATAACGAGATAAAAAGTCAGACCACTCAATTTTATTTTGATATCACACTGGTATAAATTATAATGCTGCGTATTGCAAGGCAGAAACTTTATAACTTTTAAGCAAACAGAAATGAAATTTATTTTATCTGAAGATATAAACAGATATAAGCCACCAAAAAAAATAATATAACCAGGCATTGATCAGATATGTAAAATAAACCTAGCAAACACGACCATTTATTCTCATGAAGGAGCATTTACCTTAAATTATTAATCACATGCATCGATCAGAAAAGAGGGACGAAAGATACCAGAGGGACAGTCAAACTCATAGATCTTAAACAAACTGACAACGCCATGGCCAAAAAAAAATAAAAAGACAAACAGACAAATAATAGTACAGATGACACAACATAGAAAACTAAAGACTAAGCAACACGAACCCCACAAAAAACTGGGGGTGATCTCAGGTGCTCCGGAAGGGTAAGCAGATCCTGCTCCACATGTGGCACCCGTCGTGTTGCTTATGTTATTACAAATCCGGTAAATAGTCTAATTCGGTAGGTCAAATTCGTGAAAAGGGAAGGGTATTGTAGTTACGACATAAGGAACATATCCGATATCATCTGTGAAACGGTTATTCCATAACGGTCAACCAACTCGTGATGGCGTCCGTAAAATTTACGAAGGGATGATTTCAACTTCACCATTTGGAACTCTTGGTTTAATAGCTTCCTTGTGAGCAGCAATCCTCTATCAAGGAAATCATGATAGGAAATACAAGCCCGGGAATATCGTATCAATTGGGAGATATATACTCCGTATGCAGGCGCTGCTGGAATGTTGCTACATAGAAATGGAAAGTTCACAACTGGGAAGCTGAAATCATCTCTTTTGTCGTAAAGTTTTGTTTTCAACCGACCCTCATTGTCAATTTCTAGATGTAAGTCAAGATATGAGGAAGACTTAACTGTATCTGTAGTATCCTTTATCTCTAGTTCGATGGGATAGATTCGTTCAACATTGTCACCAAATTTTGTATTATTTAGTGAGAGAACATCATCTATATAGCGGAACGTAAAGTTAAAGGATATTGCTAACTTCTTATCTTTCTTCCTAAGAAGTTCCTGTATGAAGTCAGCCTCATAATAATAAAGAAGCAAGTCGGCAAGAAGAGGGGCACAATTGGTTCCCATTTGAATTCCGACAGTCTGTTGAAAAACACGTCGTCCACAAATATGTTGTCAATCAAGAAATCAAGCATCTTGATAATGTCAGTTTCAGAGAATTTTTTGTTTGAATCAGAGTGATTCTTTACAAAGTAGGATTTATCCCTCCCCAAGACAAGATACTTGTATCTACGTTCGCCATTCTTTTTAATGAAACAAAGTAATACCAACTCTTTCAATTTGTCTTTTAGTTCGTAATGGGGAATACTTGTGTAAAGTGTAGAAAAGTCAAATGTTTTAATACTATTGTAAGATGAGAGAGTCTTAGATTGTATGTACTCTAAAAGATCTTTGGAATTTTTAGTATCCACATCTGATTCACGCCACCTCTAGAATAGGCAGTTTCACAATAACTTTGGAGCCCGGCTTTGATTGCTGATAAAATAGATGTTAATAATTTAGAAAGAGGTTTCGTGGAGCACTTGGAAGACCCAGCAATATACCGTTGTTTGTAAGGACACTTACGTAGTTTAGGTATCCAATACAGTGATGGAAGATCCAGTTCTTCATCTTTGGTTGAAGTTCCAAAGGAACATAGAACAGACCTATGATTATCCAGGATTTCCTCTTTGGTAAGTGTCGTGAGGGTATATGTTGATTTTCCAAATGAATTGTCAATACTTAATTCATTGATCAAGCAGTTTATGTAATGATATTTACACACACAAACGATGTTGTTTGGGGCTTTATCTGCGGGGACAACAACATATTTGTCATGGAGATAGGACAAGTGTTTTGCAACATTTGGGTCTTTAAAAATTGACGTAGCGTGGGTATTGATAGACCCATTTAGTTTATTAATTCGGATTTATATCAACGACCTCACAGCCTTAATTCATTCGGAAAGAGTATCTACGTCTTCTTTCTGGCGTTTAGCCCATTGCCTGGCATAATCCTCGACTGAATTCATCAGTATTTTGAAGTTGTATTTTCAATTGATGGATTTAGGCTCACGATATTTCGGACCTTTGGATAACAAATTTCGCAGGGAAGTGTTATTGACAATGTTGAGGTCTCCGGTAATAACGTGGCCAGCCGGATTATATGTAAATTGGGAACTAGCACAGGTGCAATCAGGAGGTTTAGACTTGGAGTCGTCAATCTTTAGATCCTGCAAAACGTGTTTGTAATTGAAAATTTTAGTTGCAATTGGTTTGGTATAGGTATAAGAAATTATTGGTACAGACTGATCCTTAAAATAAGGAGGTATTTTCGACTGAACTAATTTATGATGAAGGATATTGCCTAAGTTGACGCCATCGAGACATTTGTTGGCAAAGGAAAGATCTTTTCTCTTTTTCATCTTTTCCAATGCGAACTGGTTTGAAAAGTCTTTGACTTGCAATATCCGAAATGATAGCTGTAAGTTTGTATTGGTTTGAATGAGGGTTTGTAACAGTGGTTTCCAAACATAAATTGAATAGAGAATGAAGTTTTGAAAGGGGTAATGAATAAAGTTTCGTGCGAATGTGATGAATACCTAACAGCTTTTGTATAAATGGCAGCAATTTATTAATAGAGACATTATGCAAAGTAGGTGATGTATAAAACATGTATGACCATGACTGCGTCTACGTCGAGGAGTAGAGTTGGAAATATTCATCACATTCACCGAGCTACAGGAAGGACTAGATAGAATATCTATACCATCAATTTTGTCGTTGCAACCATATGGTGTCGCAGTTCCCAATTGTCGAATCCAGTAGTCCTCTTTTTGTCTACGGAGAGGCGTTGCAAGTTGAGGATTGTTAGTCTTGTGGTATATTTTTTCGATAATACGAACTGTCATAGAAACGATGGAATGATCAGGCTGATCTATGGCCACACAAACGTTTGTTTAGCCTTCCTTTCGTTTCACCGACGTAAACCAA